GTAAGGCTTTCTGGATTCAACCCATCTTTTCTGGGCCTTGAATATTAAGCCCAATCTGTGGTTTTGTCATACAATAAGATCCAATTGTTTGGACTCGTTAGGTTTGGCCCATTACCTTGAGTTAGGCAGAACGTGTACACCTTTTGTTATGAAGATGTGATCTTATCCACCGATGGTCTTGTTCTAAGCCCAACCCTCTCGTCTTAGGGGAGGATATCCATAAACCTTCAATCACGGGAACTTCACCTTTTGGTGGACAACTATGTTGGGCTTAGTTTCACCAACTTTCTTAACTTGTAGTCTAGGGCTTTGCTTGGCATTGGCTTCGATATAGCTGCTTTCCTGGTCTTGCCTCTGCTCTCCTAATTCAGTCTATAGGCTTTGGTTTAGGTTCAATCTTATATATAAGTTTAGCTTAGGTCCATCAATCAATCTCTCATAAACCCCTAAAGCTGAATCTATATGGGGCCTTGTGTTAGGCCTAGCTTGTGTAGGCTATCTTTCACCTATGGTTTCACCCATACTTGAAACTCTTGTCATTATCATTAGGCCAAAAATTCCTTGTAACGCTCTATTGGTTTCGGTATAATCAATGAATGTATAGGGGTCCACCTAATCTTTCCGCAGGTACGATCTAGACGACCACATTCCTGTTCGCCCAATTGGCTAATCAATCAATGGCTTCGCCCGTTCCAGTCCCCTATAGAAGGGGATCCTAAACTGGATATTCGGAGCCTATAGATCCCGCGTCGGATTGATCTGACTCCAGCGCCACCCCCACGAAATCTTTTTCTTTGTTTGGCCAAAATTCAAAGTTTATTTATTTCTCCAAGTCTTTACTTTTCCCTTTTTCTAGGTTTGCTTCTTGAACTTGAACGACCGGTTGTTGAGTCTTATTCCCCCATATGATCTGAGAAAGCCTCTTCTTCGTAAGAAAGCAGGGCTAAAGCTCAGGGATGGAAGCAAAACAAAGCGAAGAAACAGCATTCAAAGTGGAATGTTGGTAAGAACGCCCGCTGAAGCAGGAAGATCTGATCGCTACCCCTGAGTGAGAGGGGGGTTTTCAGAGCAATCAAAGCAATCACGACGAACGAAAGAGGGCGGATTCGCAAATGTTTATGTTCTTTTATGGTTCTAAGGGCAAGTACCTCCTACTAAACGTCCTTATTGAAAACGAAAGCGACACCCCTTGCTGAAATAAGAAAAAAAATAAAGCAGACCACTTTTTTCCTTGGCCGTAGAGAATAAGACATTCATTTCCCCCGGAAAAGAGGATAAGAATCTGATGTCGAAGAGGGATATAATTTTCCTCAATTCATTATTGAACCAAGTAGTGCTCGTTCCCGACCGGATGTTATCTAAATCCCTAATTAAGGAAGATTGAAATAATCCTAAAAGTCTCTGTCCCTGTATCGTCAACTATTAAGGAAACTTCTTTAATAAGCATAGCTTATAAAAATTGTATTAATAGCTAACCAACAGCTTGAAGCGGACTGCCTACAGTACTGATTTGATTTGGATTGCTTTCCTCCAGCTATACTACTAGACAGGATTTCTTTCCCTGGCTTTAGAGGTTTCAGCTTGACTTTGATTTAATTAATTGGGCATTTGTCCCGTCACAAGAATAAGCGGCAACCCCTTCTCTTCTTAGTCTAGTGGCAAAGCCTCTTTTCTATTCATCCATTCTGTAAGGGAAACTAATTCCATTCTTTTTGAAAGCATATTGGGCTGTTGTCGAGCTATCCTCACCTCGATGATAATAAGATGGCCCTCATAGGATCTGGCCCTCATAGGAATAGAGCAAGTTGGAATATCTCCGCTGTTCTAGGG